CCGCTCCCGACCCCGGCGGGCGCCTCATCTCTTCCCTGAGCCTGGTTCTCGTTTTCAGGGTGGGGGTGAGGGCCAGGTGTACCCGCGCATGGGGAGCGTTTGAATGCAAGGTGCAGCAAAAGGTTTGGGGGACTCCTACCTGCTGGGCACGGGTACAAGGCTTTTGGGAAACCAAATTGTCACATAATGTCCCCCTTTCCGTGGCTCTGGGGTGCATCGAGTAATGAAAGGGGATCCCGGTGAACTGAACAACCCTCTTAAAGTTAGATGTGCTTCCTCCCGTGGCTTTTTCTAGTTCTCACGTTGGTATGCATTTAATCTATGAAATTAGCACTATCACCTTACCTTGGAGTGGCACTCTGCACCGAGTCGCTGCTCTTTTCATTCCACCTTGCTACCTTTTCACATTAAGTGCTTTCACCCTTGACCACCGGTATGCCAATCTGCTGATAATTACTTTGGTATCCACCGAATTCCTAAATCTCAAGGCTCGGTGAGCAGAGTAGTCCATGGGGATTAGTTAGGGAATGCTTTCCGATGGAGGTTTTCAGCTGGAATTTGAAGGTGATCAGCAGACAGTGAACTTTTTCAGCAAGCTTTCCATGAGTTGAAGAGCCAGAAGAAGCCTAGATCATGTAGTCTGTTCCCAGAGAAGTACGAGTTGAGAAGATGGGATCAGAAAGGTTTTGACTAGCCCAGGCTCTCCTTTGTGATAAAGCCTTTCACTTAAAGTCTTTTTACCAAATAACTTTTATAGACACTATTGAACACAAGTCAGAGGGCACTGGCTGGATCCTGAGAATATGTAAGACAGAATTGGGAGCTGGCCTGGTGGCACATGCCTGTAATTCCAGCAACTAGGGAGTTGGAGCCCAGCCTCAGCAATTTAGTGAGACCCTATCTCAAAATAAAAAGGCTGGGGATGTAGTGCAATGGTGGAGAACCCACTGGGTTCAATCTCTGGTACTGGAAAAAAAGTTGAGAAGCACAGACCATGTAAAGAGGAGATGTAGAATCATCAAATACAAAAATAAGGAAGCGTCACTGATGGTAAGGGCACGGGGGAGAAGGCAGAATCCAGAGTGTGTGTATTCACTCATCTGTTTATTTTGTGGTACTGGGGGTTGAACCAGGGTTGCTTTACCCCATCCCTTTTTGTTTTTTATTTTGAGAGGGGTCTTGCTGGCCTGGAATTTGTTGTGGTCCTTCCTCAGGAAGCTTCAACTTCCCTGAGTAGCCAAGGTTACAGGTGTGTGCCATGTGCCCTGCTCCAGGAGTGATTGGGGTAAGGAGAGCGTCCAGGCTCCTGAGGGTGGAGTGGTGTCATTGTCTAGGTTTGATAAACAAAGTTCTCTAAGTTTCTATAACTCCGAATCACATCAAGAAAATCTACATTTGTTTCTAAATGTTATTTGTGATTTTAGTTCATGTCTATCAGGGTCTAGTTTGAGAAATAGAAGCTTAATCATAACAATTTAAATAAAGAATATGCTCTTGTCACTGTTCTGCTTGGGACACAGCATAGCTTGAACAAAAGGTTAAGGTGACTTAATATATAAAGCTTGTCCTCCAGCACTGTCTTGCAGTCTTGATTCCTTGCCCAGCGGTTGAATCTTCTTGAGGCATTTCTGTTATAAATCTAGTTTGGGTTTGTGAGAGTTGAGGTCAGGAGAGAAAAACACTTGTGAGATTGCATAATCCTGAAAGGCAGTTTATGGTCCTAATCTTGGTAGAAAGTCCTTAAATTTTTATCATAGGAAAGAATGAGTAAGGATTCTAGGTGTACTGATAATACACTCAAACAGGAAATTATCTCTGGTAGTAGGAAGCCTTGAGCACCAGGAGACTGGAGCTTCAGGCACTTCGCCTTTGTCTTCTGTTGGTTGATTCGTGGAACTTTCTTACACTTAGTCCAAACGACATGGTATAAATTTGACCTGCCGTACTGCACTTCTAGTGAACCATGTCTTTAAAAAAAAATTTTTTTTTTTTTGTACTGGAGATCAAATCTAGGGCACTTTACTACTGAACTACAGCCCCAGCCCTTTTTGTTTTTTATTTTGAGATAGGGTGTCGCTAAGTTGTAGTCACTGGCCCCCAACTTGTGATCCTCCTGCTTCAGCCTCCGGAATAGATGGGATTACAGGCCTGGGCCTTTGTGTCAGACTCCACATCTCAAATAGAAACAAAGCAACCTGAAAACATTGGCTGAATGAAATGTGGTCCCATTGTTCTGGCTGTTGATAAATAGACACACTAGAGAGACTGATACCTTTTTTGTGCGTGTGTACGCCTGTGTGTGTGTGTGTGTGTGTG